GTATAGTTGAATCGATGAACTGAGAATTGTGCGTGAAGGTGAAATCCGAAGGATAGTCGGTCAAATCAATCACAATCGAAGAATATATCGCTACAGAGTGCATTCGAATGGTATTTATGTGTGGTATACGCGGATTGAATGTGAAGTAATGAATAATGACAATTAATGAGGCAAAAAGATCGATATCGAGTCATTCAGAGTTAGTGAATAAGGAACAAGATCAGACTAACGAGGAGTTCTCAAATAGGAATATCGGGATATCAAAACTGTTGGTTCGTGTACCACGCATAATCTCTGATGTTCTTCACTAAATGTACATGAACAACGGACGGCAAAGGGGAGAAATCGCTGGGATAATTCGGTTCTACCTGAGTTGCTGTTACGGTGAACTCTTTTTTTTTAATTTCACATACCAATGGCCCAGTTTCCCGAAATAATTACTTTCTGCTCACACGACTAACGGTAACCCAGTGGACCTTCATTTCGGTCACGGATACATCGAAACCAGATGAAATCACCGAAAGGGCCTGACTAGGAGCAATTGTAATTATTTCCGTTCGTTCTCAATCATCATTTGTTGTCGTAGCAACTGCTCATGCATCTGTGCCTATATATGTTGACGCACGTGACCTTTGGGTACAATAGGAAATTAGGCAGCATTAACGGCAATCTGCATTGATCTATCACGGTGTGCAAGCGAGCCGCTTTCAGAATTAATTCATCTTCATTCGTCTAAGTCAAAACCAATTCCCGCAGAAACATTCAAATGGTTATCAGTTGGAAATAAACTAGTCGAAAGGATATCTAGATGCATGAACTCCAGTTTAAGTCCATGTGAATCATTTTTAATTGTACATTTGCAAAGTATGTACCAGATCAAGATAGATTGCTGTAAATGTAATTCTCTGTTGTTCCTTATCTATCCAGTGTGATTTAAGTTCAAGTTGATCTGAGTAAATCCAAACTCCATAACATTTAGATGAAATACGATTAACATGGCGAAAACGGCAACATTCAGTGTTTAAACAAAAGCTGAATCAGTATCAATTGTTGTTGTTGCCCAGGTCGGATTGGAGGAGTCTGGTGGGGTAACCGGATGAGCAATGCTGAGGTTAGGCGTAGAGTTTTAGGCAATCGCGGTCGCTTACTGGGGCAAGTAGTCGACCGTCATAAATTACGCTGGCTGGGAACCCCGAGGTCATGGTCACGAAGGGTTAGAGACACCGAGCGATACGGCAGGGTGTCGTAAACAGTGGCGCTGGTGTATTATCTACTCATTATTCTTGCAACTTCAGTCTATATAAATTTCGCTCTCAGCATTCTAATCTTCATCGGCCGCAAGTCAGCAACTTACAAAGACAATGTCAGAGGTTGAATAAGACATTGGAGAGAAAGAACACGAGTTTCACAATCAATCAGGGTTCACAGACAATGAAGGTGGGCCAACGGAGGAAACTCAGTCCCACGGTTTGCATAAAATAAACAGACTAAGAAGAAGACCAGTGAAGAGGAGTCCTCGGCCGCAACGGATGGATAGGCTGAATGACGTGTT